CACACACAGACACACACAGACACACACACACACACACACAGGTCTGTCTGCACTCATCAACACACCAAACTCAGTATCAGTGGATCGGACATCTGTCTTTGTGTGTTTGACGTCATGTGCGCCACGTCTTGGAAAACTCGTTTAAATGGAAAAACACTATGAAATCCAGTTTAGACTCACAGATGTATAGAAATTGTTTATTATAATTGTGTGGTTGTAATGAGTCTTTCTTTGTGTAGTTTTATCAGGAGGAGCTGGGCCGCGAAAGGCTCCGTGTGCAAGAAGAGATGCAGGTACGTGTGATTCTCAGTTTCTCTTGTGCTCTTATGGTCAGTGATGAATGTGTGACGCTTAATTTCAGGCTGATGAGGTGAAGAGAGACTAATAAGAGTGTGAAATAGTTTGTTGATCAGATTGGAACAGAAGCGTCATCTGTGTCACAAGTCTTTTTTCCATTTAAAAAATAACACAGATGTGTGACGTTGTTCCTCATGAGTACACCAACCCCCCCCCCGGTCCGCCATTTTCATTATTGAGTGATTACTTCTGTGCATTAGTATTGCAAAACCACCAGTTTTTTATTGTTATTTTACTTGGTTTAACCACAGCGGCCGTGTTTGTGTCATGAACCACAACACATTTTATGTTATACGGATGATCATGGAAATCTAAATGTCTTGGCTCAGGATCTGAGCTCCTTGAGCTAAATCTGATCTCTAGAGCACATTTAAAGGAACATGGACATATAGAAACTTTCTGCACGTTCCTCCTCCTTAGAATTAGAACTGAATTCCAAATGTAATGAAGCTGAATCCACTGGATTGACACTGGATGTAGGGCTGCACAATTAATCAAAATTAAATCGCAAAGGCGATAAATCGCAATTAGGCAAAAGCTGCGATTTTCATGCGTATCTTTCAGTGAAGCACGGTTCTGTGATCAGCAGTAAATCTTCATCTGAAGGCCAGAGAAACTCCAAATACGCCTCGCAGAAGAAACCCAGGGAATCCCTATAGCGTTGCTGAATAAACAGAAGATTTTCAGAATCAGAATCAGAATCAGAATGAGCTTTATTGCCAGGTATGTTTACACATACGAGGAATTTGTTTTCGTGACAGAAGCTTCCACAGTGTAACAGAATGACAGTGACAGAACAAAAAAATGGCAGTTCACGGGAGAGATTGGCTTTATTAAAGTCCCTGAGAATGATTAAAACAGAGTCCGGGTGTTGTTGTTCTGTCTCTGTGATCTGATCAGCGAGTTTCTGTAAAGCGGAGCTCACGTGCGCTTGCGGAGGAATGTAGACACTGACGAGAATGAATGAGCAAAACTTCCGTGGCGAATAGAACGGCTTACAGTTAATGCAGAGCACTTCTAGATCTGAACAGCACATCTTCTTTAACACAGTTACATCTGTACACCACCTCTCATTGATGTAAAAGCATGTCCCGCCCGGCAGACTCAACGCGCTGTCCGGAATGGCGTCTTTCAGCCAGGTTTCCGTGAAACACAGAGCAGCAGAGTTTGAAAAATCCTTATTTGTCCGGGAGAGCAGAAGGAGCTCGTCCATTTTGTTGGGTAGAGAGCAGAGGTTCGCCAGATGGATGCTAGGCAACGGCGTTCTGAATCCGCGCTGCCTTAGCTTCACGAGCGTGCTGGCTCGCTTCCCCCGTCTGTGCGTCCTGAAGCGCTTGATCAGCGCTGCAGCTCCCCCGACTACAATGTCCAGCAAAACATCATAATAGTCGAAAACCGGTGAAATATCGGGTGGTGTGTACTTCCGAATGTCCAGCAATTTGTCTCTGGTGAAACTGATTGCAGGGATATAACTAAAAACAGGACAAACTAACAAAAACATAAAAACAACTGCGGAGCACACCACGGAGGCAGCCATCAGCGTCGGGACCATCGCAATGTTTTTTCTGCTTTCATTAATTTAACGTGACTAATAAACACACGACTACGACAATGTATGGTTTATCTGAGTTCATCTTATTATAAATTTTATTATAATAAAGTATATAATAATGCAATGCTTTTATCACTGCTTAGAATACTATGAAATATGTTGCGTGCCTTATTCTGTGTAAGAAGCCACATCATCTCACAGAAGGATTTATTTCAAACACTCGACTGACGTTATGAAGTGAGTTTGGAGTAAAAACATGTTATTAAATGTGGTATTTTCACGTGCTTTCAGATAGAGCAGCATTTACTACACAGAGCCGTAGTTCACTGACAAGCTATGCAAACAGCTGTCCTTATCGCAGAATGATTTCTTCGATTTCATTATCGCGCGATTAAATCGTCTGCGATTATGAACGCCATTTTGCGTAGCTTGTCAGTGAACTACAGCTCTGTGTAGTAAATGCTGCTTCATCTGAAAGCAGGTGATGGAGATTTACTACTACTCACAGAACCGGCATTACTAACGAGATGTGCATGACAATCGCATTCGATTAATCGTGCAGCCCTAACTGGATGTTTTTTGTCTCATGAATCAGATTATGATTACTTTAAGTGATTTTACTGCATTGTTTTGAAAAATCTTTGATGTCTTCTGTAACCATCAGGACCGTCTTTGAAAATCACAATCGTTGTTCCTGTGGTAACGGGACAGGTGCACTGTGGGAATAATAGAGGCAGACATCTACAATACAAATAGGGCTGAACTATTGAATGCTGTTTTTAGTTCTGTTTGTCCTGACAAAATGTGTTTTACCTGAGATCACAGCACACTGAAACACACAATTACATATTAAATAGCATGAGTCACAAACAGACGATACACTCCCTCCTCAGAAAACCAGACGTCAGGGTTTCATGTGGTCTGTGTGTCTCAGATACACGAGCAAACAGGGAGACTTCAGATGTGGTCACTATTGTGTGTGTGATGAACCGATGTTTTGTTCCTCAAATAGATCAGGATCACCACAGTCTAAATGTGTGTTTGCATAAACAACAACTGCAGCAGAGCAAACGCACACAATCACACGAGAGCAAAGTCACACAGAAACACAAGATCAGAGCCGCTGGAACCTGTTGAGTGAGAATGAAACCCTCAGGGTGAAAATACACACACACACACACACACACTCACACACACACACACACACTCTCTCTCACTCACACTCACACGCACACGCACACACACACTCTCTCTCACTCACACTCACACGCACACGCACACACACACTCTCTCTCACTCACACTCACACGCACACGCACACACACACTCTCTCTCACTCACACTCACACGCACACGCACACACACACTCTCTCTCACTCACACTCACACGCACACGCACACACACACTCTCTCTCACTCACACTCACACGCACACGCACACACACACTCTCTCTCACTCACACTCACACGCACACGCACACACACACTCTCTCTCACTCACACTCACACGCACACGCACACACACACTCTCTCTCACTCACACTCACACGCACACGCACACACACACTCTCTCTCACTCACACTCACACGCACACGCACACACACACTCTCTCTCACTCACACTCACACGCACACGCACACACACACTCTCTCTCACTCACACTCACACGCACACGCACACACACACTCTCTCTCACTCACACTCACACGCACACGCACACACACACTCTCTCTCACTCACACTCACACGCACACGCACACACACACTCTCTCTCACTCACACTCACACGCACACACACACACACTCTCTCACTCTCACACACACACACACACACACTCAGACCTCAAAATCTATATTAGTGAACACATCAGTGGTTTCTGGAATAATTTTAAGGGTTATTTCATCCAAAAATATAAATTCTGTCATCATTTACTCATCTTTCCGTGGAACACAAAAGAAGATATTGTGAGATATGTCTCAGTGTTATTTGTCCATATAATGAATATCAATGGGCTCCAATGTTGTTTGGTTCCCAACATTCGTCAGAATAGTTACTTTTTGTAGCGCAGAAGAAAGTCAGCCATACGGTTTGGAACGCTGTGAGATTGAGTAAATGTTTTTTGTCCCCTTTAATGATATTTACTAAACTCCTACAGATGATGGTGAAATTTAAAGCAGAACATGATTTGGCTGATTTAGGGATGTGTGGCTCACAGGTCATGCTCAGGGTCAAGGGTCAAGGTTAGGGTCAGGTCATTGGTCAACATGTTTCACTAGTTATGCCATTTTGGCACTCACAGGTAAAGACACAAACAGCCTTCGTTAGTGCTGATTATTAATGCAGTAACCTGATGAGGCAGTATTAGTTTAAATGAACGTGGATTGTCAGAATATAAGAACAGGAAACATGCTTCCTACTAATATAAAAACATGTTTCTTCCTGAAATACATATTCGCATGAAGCGAACTGAGAGCTTTATCATTCCGACGCTGTAGTTCATAGTTTCCCTCATTGGTGACAGTAGGGGTGTGTGCGCTCAGACCTGCTTCGCTGCTCTCTATTCTGATCAGCGACACGGACAATATCCCGGAAACATTATATTCTACTGAGATCTGTTCTTTTTCTCGGCTTAGCATGTTCCAGTCGGTGTGTTGTTTAGTGTGGAGTGCGTTGTGGTGACTGAGGCACCCCTCATGTGAGAGATGATGGTTCACGCCCGCGCTGCAGGTTTCGCGGCATCGCCTCCTTTTATCTTCATCTCATCACGCGACCGCAGCGGCTCACCGGAGAGTCTGCCGTATTTCTCACCGAATCGCGCTGTGATGCGCCTGTAGCGGCGGCTCTCGTCTGTTCCGGTGATGAAGGCTGACAGAGGACGCGTGTTCCGCATGACACAGAGCGCGAGCATCGAGGACGGCGGCGTTTGTGTCGTGTTTTAGACGCGATGTGAGCTGCATCAGCTCGACGCGTCTCTGGATTATCAGTCATTTCTCCGATGCTTTCGTGGACTTTCATCTGTGAAAACACCCGCACTGTCTCATCTATGGTGACTACGCTACGTTTATGTTTATGTGGTCTTTGATCTCACCTTAAATATATTAAAATATTATAGTATCATTTTATGTTCAGACTTCTTGGATTTAACCACATAAGAACAGAAGGACCGTTACTGGTTGGAATACAAATCCTTTTCTTTTTTTTTTTGAACCAAAGGTCAGCTGCGTGTGTCAAAGGGTTTCAGGATCCAGTGAGTAAATGAAGGAGGTGTGTCGCATCTGCGCGCGCGAGCTGTGCGGAAACCAGCGGCGATGGATCTTTCATCCGGCGGCCAAACTCAACCTGCAGGTGCTGCTGTCTCACGCGCTGCGCCGCGGTCTGCAGCGGGACGGACGCGGCGAGTTCATCTGCAGCAAGTGCTGCTTCATGCTGGACCGCATGTACCGCTTCGACACGGTGATCGCGCGCGTGGAGGCGCTGTCCATCGAGCGGCTGCGCAGACTCCTGCAGGAGAAAGAGCGTCTGCGCCAGTGCATCACTGCGCTTTATAACAAAAACAATGGGCAGGAGACATGGGGGGCGACGGAGGCCTCGTGTGCGGTGGACGTGTCCGAGTACTTCACCCTGCTGCAGGAGGACCTGATGTACTGCATGTACGAGTCCTGGGCGGAAGACGAGTTGCAGGTGTTGGAGTGTTGCCACGCGTCGGAGGTTTCCTCGTGTTGGCATCGCTCGCGCAGGTGCAGGGTCTGCAGGGCGTTGCGTGTGCCCGACTCTGACTACGAGGCCGTGTGTAAGGTGCCCAGGAAGCTGGCGAGGAGCCTCTCCTGCGGCCCGTCCACACGTTACACGGCCAGCGGCGCTGGAAGCGTGTGCGAGGAGGAACAGACTTCAAACACGCTGATGCCCAAGACGCAGCGCACGGCATCACTCTCGTCAGACGGTGCGCGCACGCTCCGAGACCGCAGGAGCTCCGGCGGATCACTGGAGTCACTGGATAAAAGCCGCGGTGCTTCACCCGTCAAAGTTCCCCAGCGTGACGACCGAAGCTGCGACGCTGCGTCTGATGCTCCTCCAGCGAGACTCGCTCTGGATCTGTCGCTGCTTCAGGACTGTGTGTACAGACCCGTCCAGAGTCCACGGGGAAGCAAACTGCCTGTTCTGATGAATCCTGGGTGTTTTAATGGAGGAGCTAAACTGGACAGTCCAGACCAGGAGAACCTGTTTGACGGAGCAAACCACATGCTGGTGGAGCCAGAGCCGCCCAGAGTCCAGCTGGATCCGGATCCGGAGCTGGCCCGTCTGGAGGAGCTGTGTCAGCAGGTGCAGGATGAGTACCTGCCCTTCCGTCTCCGGAGAGGCCCACAGGTGAAGCGCCACTAACAGGACGGTCAGATCCCTATTCACTGGTCAGAGAAATGGATGCGTTCAGATGACGCTCCCCGTGCGTCGTGTGTTTTGTGCATGTAGCCGTTTACAAACACTAATGTCCCATTCTCTTTTTGTCATGTTGCTCATTTTGCATATTTTGTCTGTGAGGTTCATGGTAATTTTAATACATTTTAACATTTCTGGTGTTGCTTTTGTATGATATACAGTTGTGGCATTGAATCGCTGAAGTAAAAAACAGTTAGAAAGCATCAAGCTGAAAAATCATCTGCAGATTGTGTTTGAGGGCATTCGGTTAATATTCTGTAATTTGGTTTCAGCACATGATCTGCTTTTAAACAAAACCTGAACATGAACCAACACAAACCTCTTGATTCATTTTAGACCCTGTTCCTGCTGGATATCAGCACTGTAAGAGCTGATGAAGGAAGTCAGTGTTAGAGCCGTACCATCATCCGATCAGTGATGTTTTGTCTTCTCACGTCTCTGTTATACTCTGTAGTTCTCACTGAAATCTCCTCTGTGAACCCAATGATAGCCATTTCAGTTAAATAGGTTAACATGGAGAACGTGGCACCACCATTGGCCTAGTTCTGTCACAAAACCCCCAAGGCAACACACACACACACACTCACAGGCTCACACACACACGGACTCTCTCGGTCTCTCACTCTCTCACAGGCACACACACACACACTCACAGGCTCACACACACACGGACTCTCTCGGTCTCTCACTCACTCACTCACTCACTCACACACACACAGACTCTCTGTCTCTCACAAACACACTCACACACTCTCACAGGCACACACACATACACATACACTCTCTGTCTCTCTCACACTCACACTCACAGATTCTCTCTGTCTCTCTCACACACTCACACACACACTCACAGGCTCACACACACACAGACTCTCTCGGTCTCTCACTCACTCACTCACACACACACACGCACTCACAGGCTCACACACACACAGACTCTCTCGGTCTCTCACTCACTCACTCACACACACACACGCACTCACAGGCTCACACACACACAGACTCTCTCGGTCTCTCACTCACTCACTCACACACACACACGCACTCACAGGCTCACACACACACACACACACACACAGACTATCTCTATGTCTCTCACACACACACACACACTCTCACAGGCACACACACACATACACTCTCTCTGTCTCGCTCACACTCACAGACTCTCTCTGTCTCTCTCTCACACACACACACGGACTCTCTCTCTCGGTCTCTCACTCTCACACACACACACGCACACACACTCACAGGCTCACACAAACAGACTCTCTCGGTCTCTCACTCACTCTCTCACACACACACACACACACACACACAGACTCACACACACGCTCTCTCTCT